GTCTCATGCACCTGCTTTAGACAAGAGATGCGGCCATTAGAGACATTAAAATCAATTTCATGACTTCTGAAATGAGCAGTCGAGCCGCTACCTGTTGTGGTTCCCAAGATACTAAGGAATGAGCGGGAGGTTCTCGAAACCCTCGCTTAGGGTTGAGCGAGGCGGAGAGGCGCCGTCGCTTATTTTTCGGAAAACCGAGCGACGAAAATAATTGTTGGGACATTTGCCGAGCTGCCGAGCACGCGCGCCAATAATTTGTGCCAGTCGCCTAGGGACGGTGAGCCTTTCGAAAGATTACGCAAATTCTGCTGACATAGACACAAATCCCGCTGACGTAGTATATATAAACGGTAATTACAAGATAGCCGATAATCACCCAACCCGATAATCCGCTTGAGAAAGGCTCCCGTCCCTTAGGCGCTGGTCAGGAGTCTGGATAAAGGGAGAATCAGGAAAATCTGAGGGTAGATGGCGTATTTGGTCATCGCAAGCTGATGATCGTCTTTAGTTCGAACCTAGGCCTCTTTTTCTTCATCGATGTCTCAACTCAACTGGAGCAGCTCTGTCCGTGACTATCTCTTGAGTCTCGACTCTCGAGTTTCTTGAAGTATCTCTTGCCTTTCGGCCTCGATTCGATCGGTGTTCTCGAAATTTGGGTGTGTACAGCTCCTAGGAGCCAGACTAAACAAAACGGCTGGCTTTGTGCTGCACCACTAGATCACAGGCAACTACTCCTGACAGCTGAAGGAACGATCTGCTGCATTCCAACTAGAGGGTGCTAGTACAGAACATGTCATCAAACAATAACGTAGTACTGATGCGCTCGCAAAGCTAGCGCATTTTAGCTATAGTAGCAAGTCTGAGAGGCTCTGCGGCCGTGATGACTGGTCTAGAACACAATCGGACAACAAATACATGTATATGATGCCTCTCTAATGAAGACGATAACATAGAATTCTCCAAATAATTTAGCGACTGGAGAGAAGATAGAAGCTTATAGTGGTCGAGGGCCGACGTGAGACACATAGGTCGGCGGCCCGTACGGCGGTGGAGCATCCCCAGGGAATGACGGAAGCGGTGGAAGGGAGGGGGAAGGAGACGGTGGAGGCGTCTTCTTAGGGGCGTCTGCACGGTCTGGCGGGGACTTGTACTCGTAGCCGATCTCAGGAACAACGTATCCAGGAGGGAACGACGATAGCCTGGCTGTCGGCGGGTCGTACGGTGCATCTGAACTGGGCTGTGGAAAGGTGAGTAATGATGTGACACATGACCATGCAACTACTTACTTGAAAGGGCGGGGCGTCCGCGGTGGAATCTCCTAACTCTTCCAAAGGCTCATACTTCTGGGGTGCACCAGATCCCCCGTCTTTCTTTCTCTGCCGGTAGGAAGAAAAACGAGACCATAGAAAGTATCCAAGTGGCAGGATTACTGCATGCAATAATGGCTGATGAGTCCGTGTTCCTTACGAGGACCTAACACATGGTACATACCTACGACGACTGACAGTACAATGACATACGGTAACCAAACGGCCATCGGGCAACGAGTCTGGTCTCCGTTACTGCGAGGTCGCAATTTCAGCAGTCTTTCTGCGCTGTTGAGCCGAAAATACCAACGCATTTAAACATATAACCGGCTGGCTAACTGAGTGGGAATCGTGGGAACTTGTTGACCGTGCATATGCGCTCTGCACGACGTAAAGCACCAACAAGATGGCTGTGCGATGCAGGGAACGGCCAAGAGCATGCATATCCGAGTTTGCCGGGGGAGGAGATAGCTAGTGGTCAAGCAGGGGAGAGATGCCCCTGACGTTGTATTGACTAAGTTAGTACTGTGTACGTCAGCTTAGTGTTTCACGGCCATTCCCATCTGTCGACATAAGTACGCCGCTAGCCTGTGTCTAGTTCGTGATCAAGTCGTGAATCTAAAAGGTGGACCCACCCAGCAACAGCACAACAAGCATCGCCTTCACAAGATACGTGAGATTTTCGCAGGAAAGGAGGCCGCATATACATGCATATGGCGCATCAATGCATCACTTTCTGATACCATCAGCGCATCCAGGGCGCTTCATGTACGTCTCCAACGTCCTGCACCATCATATCACCACTCACCATCTGTACATTCGATAAGCTCACACGCCTCTCAGGATCTCCAGCTTTCAGCACGTCGTCGTAATACAGGGCCCACGTAATGTCGCTACCTGCAAATCCTACCACAATGCATGTCAGAAGGGTCACTCTTACCTCGAAGAAGAACTGGTGGATGGGTACGTGCGCCCGGCCCTACCGCTCCGCCTGTCCACTCTAAGGTGCGCTGTAATTCTCGTAAACAGTCGAGCTGGACGAGGATGAGCCTCAGAGGTCTTCATCGGCTGGGCCCCAGCAGCAGGATGCACAGCAAGATTGGTCGAGAAACGAGCGTACTGCGAGTCCGAAGGTGAACGACTCTCGGCCCCTACTAGAGCAACGCGAGCTTTCGAGCGGCTCTCAGACGCATCGACCAGCATATCCTCATCGCTCAACTACGCGCACATACCATAGCACATCGATGACGCCGCACGCGTCAACAGCCGTGACAAGCATCTTCCATCCTCCCTCTCATCCTTCATCTTTATTCTCTTTCCCCACCCCCACCTCGTATTCTGCACCCCCTCATCCCACGCAGAATCTCCTGCCTTTTGCGACCGGAAGTGCCTCCGAGCTGTTCAAATGTGTGGTAAAGAAGCCCAATGTCGTCCAGATGGAGATAAATGGCGAGATGCAGAGCAACACTCGGGACGTGAGCGTTCAGTTCCTCGCGGAATTGCGCGTTTACACAACTCTCACTCGGCATCGCAACATATGCGCGTTTCTTGGCGCGTTAGAGAACGTTGGTATGGTCCTCGAATTTATCGACGGACGGACCCTCTGGGACGTCATCAAAGAGTCTACCTCCCCAGATACCAAGGCCCCGCTTACTCGCGTGAAGAAGATCGATTTTCACAACCAGCTTCTCGATGGCCTCACGCACTTGCACTCGTTCGGGCTGAGCCACGGCGATCTCTCCCTTCTCAACATCGAAGTGACGCTGTCTAGCGATACAATCAAGCTCCTCGACTTCGGTCGGTCGGTATCTGCAGAGTCTGTCTTCGTGTCGCCGGACGACGACCTTCAGTCTCCACCTTACATTTCGTCTCCCCCTTCGACGCCGCGTGCCCCGCCCGTCAACTCACGCTTTGCGCAGCGGCAATCGAGTGTGCCCGCATTTCCGCCGCCACCGTACGCACTGCAGCCGACACACAATGGCCGCCGTATCGAGCAGATCCACCCTGGCACGCGGCCGTTCTCAGCTCCAGAAGTGCTCCGCGGCGAATGTGCCGATCCATTGCTCGCGGACGCGTACAGCTTTGGCATGATCCTCGCTTGTCTGGACCTGCAGAAGCACGTCGACGTGCCGCCATGGGAACAACGCAAGGACAAGCTGCCGAAGGGCTTGTTCGAAAGCCTTGGGATATTCCGCGGCCAGTGCCAGAAGTACCTGCAAAGGGTCGACGAACGCTGCAGGGTGCTAAAGGAGGACGCTATCGATCCGAATCGAATGGAAGATGTCGAGATGAAAGATTGTGCTTGAGCAGCGTGCCGCGTCAATGTCAATGAGAATGAAAGTAAGAATGCATAACATACCCGCAATCGCATTGCATGTACTACCGCTCCGTGTAACATAGGGTTCGCCACCGTTCAATCAAGATGCGTTGTCCCATCCTGGATCCGTACGCGCGTAAATTGTGAGGGAGTTGTCTACCGCTCGGAGTGCGGCTGTATCACAAGCAATCGAGATCTTGCCCTATCCACAGCTCGATTGGCAGTGCTCTCGGCGCTTTACTGAAACAGCAGCGCGTCATACTGATAGGACCCAACCTTCATGGAAGAAGACCTGACCGCCGATAATCGACGCCTACTTTGCGGACATCCCGCGAACCGTGCGATAAACAAGCCCGGACAATGATGTGGGCAGTGGAAAGGCGCAGTGGAGGAGTCAGGCTATACGACGAAAACAGGTTGACTTATGAAGTCTCTAACAGGTGTTTAGGCGGCAGCCGAGTTTTTGTCCTGTCTTCCCATGCTATTTGCCGACAAAACGTTGCTGGATCCGATTTTGGTATTTAACGTGAACCATGGGAGTCTCATAATGATCCTGGTAAGCTTCATGAGTCGCTTAGTAGTACCATGATTGACGCGCCATGATGTATATAGCATGCCCGCGGTAGGACGTACATGGCGAGTTCCTCTCTGAGTCTTATGAGGATGTCTTACAGCTTGGCGGTAGCTTTACTTATTCTGGCATTCATTGTGCTAAAGCG